GGAACTAATTAGAAAAGACAAAGAGAAATTCCGCTCCGCGCAGAAAATTCCGCCTGGTGGAAAACGGTCTTAAGATAGTCATAAAGTTTGTCACTGAAGAGCAGGAATAACAGATAATTATTTGGATTATTTTCAGTACCACTTTTGGCAAATAATTTGGCATATATTAACGCTGTTCTTTTCGCTCTTCGTATACCGCTTCCTAAAACTGTCGCGATATGCCACTCTAGCATTTTTGGAACACAGATAAACCTATACTATTCAATACACATACATTCTCCATTAGCACCACTTGTCGTTTTCCTTCTATTCGAACGACATACAATGACGATAATTACAGCAATAATCAGCAACAACGCTCCAAGACCAATCATAACGTATGGCATGACTTTAGCAACACGTAATGGAAGAAGAACACTTTTCTTGAAATCATCTGCATCTTCTTCACTGATTTTGGCAAACTAAATATTACAGTATGCATATTGAAATTCCAAAAATATGCTTTTAATCCGAATTTTCCGACATGTGTATCATGAAAAAGGTCTGTCAGTTGTGATTTGAAAATTTAATCCAAAAACTTTTATAGGAAAGTGGAACTTAATGTGTTGCTTATAATTCACAGCAATGTGCTGAGGTGAAAGACGAAAAATTGTCGCTCAATTATAAATCAGGAAGGCCACTGTTTTGTCAACATATGCTGTTATGTGTTAGCCTGGTAAAATATGCAATAATATCACTAACAGATATTATTATTTTGAATATTTCCAAGTCTTTATTATTCGATTCATTCAAAAAGGTCTAAATATTCATAATTTACAACAATTATACCGGTATATAGTTTCTTCTTGATTCCTTTCCAGCAAAAAGTTCATTATTAGGCTATAACTAAAATTTCAAAACTATTCGTTTCTTATATAAGAACTGATGTTATTCATATCAAAATTTATATTCACTGTATTCAATTAATGCCGACTGTGCGTGTATGCACCGCTTAAGTGGATATATAGACCAAGATTTCCCCATATATATATATATATATATATATATATATATATATATATATATATATATATATATATATATATATATATATATATATATTTATTATTATTATATATATACACAAGGTCTGGATATGAGGTATTCTGTAATCTGATTGGTTCTCTACTAGCAGGATATTAGCTCATATCCTGCTAGTAGAGAAAAACAAAATGGCGGCCAAACTGAATTTACGATGTTTTGCAAACGAGAAAACGGCAAGTTGTCGCTTTTTATAGCCTTCACAGGATTAAAAACACAATAAAAAACTCCCACAAATTGTTTTAGGTTAGCAAATAAATTTTTAATATTTAAAATGGTTAAAAATATATATTTTTGAAAAAATAATCGGCCGAAAGAGCGAAGATAAAAACATAAACAAAATAGAAAAATATTGAAAATATTCGAAAAGCAAAGTCTGTGAATTCAGACCTTGTGTATATAATAAAACAGTTATTCCACTCACTGTCGTCAAATATGAGCGATAGCCGATTCGGCGCTACGCGCCTCATCGGCTATCAGCTCATATTCGACTCGAGTTCGTAGAATAACTGTTAAATATATATAGGTATATTCCCCCCATATATATATATATATACCGGTATATATATATATATATATATATATATATATATATATATATATATATATATATATATATATATATATATATATATATATATATATATATATGGGGGGAATATAGATCTGAAGTATAGAGTCAATCGAAACTTACCTCATCTGTGGAAAATGAAGGAATAAAAAGAACATCCGACGTATTGACATTCAAGAGTATGCTAGATGATGAGAAAAATAGATAGAAAGTTGTTAAAGTTTCTGAATAAAGTTTCCCATGCTGGTCATGCATGCAGTTATATTGTAATTGACATAATCAATGATTTTCTGAAAGTATAAGAGAAGTACTTACTTTTTGATATTTAAACTTCTGGGAATTGCGAAATTTAACTGAAGTCGTTTATGACCTTGCATGGCGAGCCCAGTATTCTTTAATGAATGAATAACAATTGTTTTAACGTTCGCTCTCAACATATTTACATTCAGCAGTTTTCGTGATTATTCTATTTTGGCTTTCAGTACTGGTAAATGGTAAAGTTCTATACACCGTAAAATGTATGAAGCTCTCCCCTGGGCTCATTTATTTCAGTCGTATTTCCTTACTTGAGGAGCAGGGCTATTCCATAAGAGAAGAAAATCACCAATTTTGAAACCAATATTCAATACGTATGTAACAACTTATGCCAATCATGAAAGGTCATGAGTTGAAATGAACAAAATTTGTCTTTGATGGTTACATTTGGGTCACACCCTCCCTTTTAGGGTTCTGTAACTCAGTCTACATAAAGCAAATTTGGCTGCCGACACTGAATTCGAGCTTGAAACGTTCTGTGTTGTTCTTTAAGGAGCCATAGTTTGGTTTCCTGTTTGATCAGTGATATAGCAACACCTACACATTAGTTCTAGTTTCAGGAACACTAGCAAATTCATGCATGCATGCAATGTCAAGAGATTTTTAGCTGATTTAATAGGTAAAACGCACACTGTGTAATGTCCGTAACATTTTGTGTAATGTCCATAACCAATAACAATTGTATAAGTGAAATAAACTGCAATATACTATACTATGACGTAATTCTTGTCCGTTTTAATAAAGTAGTGATTGTTTTTCAACCATTTGAGATTCACAAAAATTAAGATTTAATATTATGAATTGAAATGAGTAGTTGTTTTAGCTGTAATGTCCAGAACAACTCTTGAAACCAATTCATTATACCATTTATAAACATCTATTCCAGTGTATTTTGCTTTGCATCACAAAGGGTGAGCCCCATATAGCTATATCATGCGGCTAATAAAACAAGAAAATGTTAACTACTTTATGAAGTGTGGAACGAAAATGTTGCAAAATGGTCTGGATGTAATGTCCATAACGGTGGAACGACCCAGGAGCCTATTGGAGAGGAGAGGGCTCAATAGAGAGGGAGCTTATTAGTTGATTTACTGTGGACGAAATGCAGTAATTTCTATTCTTACTATAGGGTATTGCAGTAAATAGTCTGAAGCAGTATAGTGGAGAAAATCTCACAATTCCTCACACAAGATAATCGCACAGTGAATTATACATACTGGTTCAATATCAATAAACGTGGCATGTTTTTCTTTGTTTGGCACCAAATTAAACAGTTGATATAGTAGAGGATCACCAAGATAGAAATGTGGTGTAGAAGCAACAAATGGAGGAGCTAAATGAAATAGTATATACAAACGTTATTTAACCTGCCACGGTTGTAAACAATTTGAAGGCTTTGAATACATATTCTGCAAGGACAAACTGAAAAAAAACCCGTTACTTTTTATTATACAGCATGTCAAACTGATAGAATAATCCGATGATAATCATGCAATGGCATGCATTTTACGCTTACAATTAACTTTATATATGCATGGTGCTATATACAGTAGGCCTATAGGCTAGTTTTAATGGTATGTAATTGACAGGTGCATGCATAGTATATAAACGAATGAAGGAAATGCTTTTCCGAAAAACTGATTATATCTATTACATATTTGATTAAATATTATACTGATTATATATTTATTGTGGATGTAGCAGAAACTGTAGATTATAAGGAAACAATTACCTCTTGCACCTCCTTTACACGGATTGACATCAAGTAATCCAGAAGGTAGACATACTTTGTTAGGACCAGTCACACAAAATCCTTTATTTTCTGGGTTGATGTTACCATTGTCGAAAACCTCTTTAGGAGGAGTAAAACGGTAAAGATCAATACCATGAACTGTAACAGTGGAATCATATGTGACTTTCAATGATCTAGAATGCAAAGAAAAACAGAAATATATCATGCTAGAAATACATTAATCCAAAGACCTCGCCCCAATAATTACTGACTTGAGAAATTTTTCTTTCTTCTACACTATATGATTGTTATTAATTGAGAAAGCTATAGGGTTTTTGTCGCGGGTTTAAATCCCGACCAGGCACTTTTTCTCCAAATGTTTTCAAGTTTTTTCCCTATAGTAATGTTAGCTTTCTATGCCAAGGACTAGCCAACTAACAACCAATTTGTCAACTAAATTACCAATTGCATGTATAACTAATTTATCAACCTACAGTAATTAACTACAAACTTACTAACTATACTGTCAGTAGCGTAACTACTATGGGCTCAGACCGTGAGAACCCGGGGGCCCCCAACCCCAATGGGCCAAATGGGGGCCCCCAGGCTCAGGCTGTAGAACAAATATGTTACAATGTCGTTTTCTGACCATCAGAATTCTGTAAAATCTCTTCCCAAAGTCCGGGAAATGGCATTTCAGAGAGTCTAGATTCAAAAATTTTCCGGAAAACTCGTGCATATACGGCGCTCAACTCGTGCATTCGGCATTTCTACTATGGGGGGAGGGCCTTCGAAAATTTTGAACCGGGGGCCCCCTGATATAACGTTACGCCACTGTATACTGTTAAATGTAAACTATATATATATATATATATATATATATATATATATATATATATATATATATATATATATATATATATATATATATATATATATATATATATTTAAAATGCATGTTTGTACCTGCAAATGTCAGTTACAAAGACGTATAACTCATCATCTTTTTCAATGAAAGGTCTAAACCTTTCACCACCTTATTATAAAGAAACAATGGAATATGAATTAAATACTATATATGGAACAATACAGTCACGTGCAGGTGACTGATCAAATAAACATATTGTATGTCAAGTGTAAAAATACCTGTGCCATTAATCGTATTAGCAGAGAGGCTGTTCCACCACGGCAACGTTCTGAAATTGAAATCAAGAAGAAAGTATGCTTAATTTTCATTTTATGATTAAAAGATGATATTTTTAATGAAAAGAAATGCCGCTGAAGATGAACTTATTAGTATTTTATAACTAAAGTCATGAAAAAAAAATAGTTGTCTTTTTTGTCTGTTATATATAATGACAGCCGAAGATCGTATAGCAGTTTTCGTTGTTCAAATAAATTGGTTGCGGCATGAGAAGTTCGAAATTTTATTCAACGTCTCATTTTTTGGTCTATAACCCAACTATGTCTTTTTTGTATGCCGGGTAACACTTGGGTTATTAATATATATATATATATATATATATATATATATATATATATATATATATATATATATATATATATATATATATATATATATATATATATATATATATATATATATATATATATATATAGTACAAATCTCATCTTTATTAATTTCTTCACTGTCAAAGTTGTCGGATATATGATGTCATTAGATCAATTGTAAATTAGTTTTCCTTGGTTTCTTGCTGCTAGAATAGTAGGTAACCCCCCCCCATCCAGGTACGGAAGTGATTCAAGCGAATGACGTCAACAGGTGGTGTACGTCCGGGCGTTCGTACTTAGTGTACGTACTTAGCGTGCGTCCAAGCGTTCGTACTTAGCGTTCGTACTTAGTGTACGTCCGAGCGTTCGTACTTTAATAGTGCTTAAATTTAATGTGTAAATGTGTGTATATTATGCCCTTACGATACTTATGCGAGCTTCGAATAATAATGAGGTATAATTCCCGAGAAAATAGAGGACAGCAGTTTGTTTTATTCAAGTTCACATAGTATTACGACAATTTAAATGTTTCTTCCAAAAAGAAAGCCAACTCAACTTATTTATTCTTATAATCAACTTTCTACTAGCATGAGTACAATGATTAATCATCAGAAAGTTTATTCTTCAAATATTCCGCATATGTTTTACGATGACTCTCCTTGCACGAACAATTTTGTACGTACAGGACCCATGCGTACTGCTTTGTACGAACAGAGCCGTACGTACGCTTTGTAGTGCGTACGCTTTATTGCACGAATAATTAGTACTTAGGACACTGTGCGTGAGACACTTTTATGTGTAAACGTTGAATATATTGTGTATAACGTTATACATTGTTTATTGATGTAAGGTTGTTACTTTAAGAAATAAATTGTTTAAAGGGAAATGGCAATATATTTTTTTATTTTCTCATTTGAAAGAACTTTTGAAACTATTTAATAACTTCTTTTACCGATTCTTTATATCTTGGTTAGTTCTTGAAATATTTTCACTTGAAGTAACGAGATGTCAGCCATCTTGGATAACATTTTGATCTCATTAACGGTAGTTTTGGTGACGTCACAACAGGGATTAACCATATAAAAGTATTCGTTACTGACCAAATATTGATTGGTAGATGTTTTAAACGTTTCAAGTGATCTTGATATTTCCAAGGGCATGCAGAGTATAATTTTGAGTGCAAAATGATTAGTGGTTGTCTAGATAAAAATATTGCGTGACCCCTGTTGTGACGTAACATGCATATCTACAAAAATCCAAGATGGCGGACATTTCATTTCTTTCGATTAAAATATTTGTAGAAGTAAGCAAGACATGAAAAAAACGGTAAAAGAGTTTTATATATAGTTTTAAATGTTCTTTCAAACGAGAAAATAAAAAAATATATTGCCATTTCCCTTTAAAAGATGTAAAGTGCATGGGGTCTTAAACCGCCGTTAGCGATGTGGAATTATATTACCTGCACTCAACAACAAACATGAAAATATACAACAGTCTACAACAACCATTTTTTTCTGTACAGTGCTAAATTCGTCCCGAACACGGACACTGTTTTTTGTTTTGGAAGTTTTAGATATTTTGCCAAAAGAAAAAATACGTAATCACCCGAGGAAAACCAGAGGTGCCATGGACAGTTGTTGTAGATGGCGAGATCTGGTGAAAAACCTTGGCGATTACGAGTCCGGATGCCGAACACCCTGGGGGCAACCCTGCACACCAACGCGACCGAATTAACAAGACAAATATATCTCTTTTTATGAACAAATTGTTCCACATTAAGGGTATATTTATCTTAACCTTGAAACCTGAAAATATTTCAGATATGTTCAGGACAAGGTGCGTGGCAAATGAACCCAATGGCCCAACATATTTTGAAAGTTTGTAAAGGCTGTTAGGACACTTGGATGCATTTTGAAGATGTGACGTGTGCATTTCTATATTTAGATTTTTTGCGCATTTTGCTTGTATCGCGCGAAAAAAATTGCAACGCGCACACTCAATTTAAATTAGCATGCAACTTAGCGCGTTTAATTTTACTAAGCATGCAACTTAGCGCGTTTAATTTTTTTAAAAATTTTTTTATTAGTTTTACAATACGAAATTCAAGGCACAGACAACAGGACTAATAAAGTCCCAAAAATTAAGTCCAATTAAACAATTTTAATATGCATGAAACTTTGCGCACTTTATTCTGATCAACATGCACCTTAATTTATTTTTCAAGTCACTATTTGCACATGGAATACACACGTAAAAACGCGTTGTTACAGGTCTGCAAA